AAATAAATAAAACGCATAGCCGATTTTGAACCGTGACTATTAAATTGTTGACATATTTTCCCCATAAAATTACTACAAAAAGTAATAAAATAATTACTAATTAGTTAGAGTTGACTAAACCGTCACGTAGCTACTGTCGAACATCGTTGACAATGTCGGCAGTCAATCAACTTTCATTTTCCAACGTCTCGGCGATTGACGTCCCTAACGTCCTTGAAAATTTCTTCTTTCTACTCTCCCTTACTTGGTTTCCATTTCTCTATTACCCTTCTAATAGTTTATGCAAATCAAAAATATGTCGTTGCTTCCTGAAACTTTTTCCTTGATAGCCTTATTTTGTGTTTACGTTTTAAACAGTTTCTTGCCTTACTTTTGACAAACTTTTCTTATTGATCGATTTTCGAGACGTTCGACGACATAGTTTTAACGCAAGTATTTCTTTAACAAGTGACATTTGAATTGTGATTGCAAATATAAATATGGTTTAAATGAAGTCATTTTTTCTAACAACGTCAAGGATATAGCTCCTGCCTTTTTGGCAAACTTTGAAATCTAAATGTACCATATTGCAAAATATACAAATCATAAAGTGCCCGATGTCAGCGTAAATGTATGCACTGCGCCGTGTGTACGTTACCACGGTTTTTAAATTCGCTGTTACGGACAAGCTATTTGCGTTATCAAATTAGATATAGCATCAGTTTGCAGGTATTGTTTTCTGATTAAGTGTGATATATAACAATGAGTGATAGGTTGAAAATTCTTGAATTGACAATCCCATTCCGGTTTATTTGTATAAACTTCACCTATGATAATACTTCAAGTGTTGGCAGAAACATAAGTATACATGTATATTACATTAAGGCGTCAGATCCGTTACCGAATTGATTTGAGAAAACTTTAGAGATATTTTAAATAAGGCCCTCCAAGTTGAAAAATGATCAAAAGGGTAACATTTATATACATATTAAAAATCATTTATGTTTGTCTGTCCATCATGGCATGTATGCTTCTTATATAAACTACAGTTGCAAATATATAAATTATTATTTTTTAACAAAGGTAACATTTTGACAGTTTTTTGTGTCTAGAAAAAAAGGCCAACACAACCTTTATATGATTGAAGAAACAGTGCACAAGAACCCAAATCCTTTTTATTGAGAGATCAGGTTGACAGTGTGAAGATGTAAGCTCAATTTTGTGTAAACGATATTCTGACATGATTCACACTATTACAGTATCAAACAGCAGTGCATTATTACACAATATATGCATACCACAAATATGACGTCAATAAATTACTTCTACGCTTAATGATTTCAGCATGCATATTTTTACACATTCAGCACAACATTCAGCTCGACATTCGTTTTTTGTCTTCTTTTTGAATGTCTAGTTAGGATGTAAAGGTGGCTGGTCATTCAGCACAACATTCAGCTCGATATTCGTCTTTTTTTTTTTGAATGTCTAGTTAGGATGTGAAGCTGGCTGGGCGTTAAGCACATTATTCAGCTCGACATTCGTTTTTTGTTTTCTTTTTGGATTGCAAGTTAGGATGTGAAGCTGGCTGGACATTCAGGACAACATTCAGCTCGATATTCGTTTATTGTTTTCTTTTGGACTGTCAAGTTAGGATGTGAAGCTGGCTAAACATTCAGCAAAACATTCAGCTCGACATTCGTTTACGATTTTTTCTTTAATGTCAAGCTTGGATGTCAGGCTGGCTAGACATTCAGCACAACATTCAGCCCGACATTTGCTTTTTGTCTATATTTCGATGTCAACCTTAGATGGGAAGCTGGCTAGAACTCCAGCTTCACATTGCAGCTTGACATTCAAAAAGTAGACAAAAACGAATGTTGAGCTGAATCTGGGACTGAATGTGAAGCTGAATGTCTAGCCAGGTTCATATTCAGTTCGACATTCGTTTTTTGTCTTCTTTTTGAATGTCGAGCTGGAATGTGAAGCTGTATAGACATTTAGCTCAACATTCAGCTCAACATTCAGCACGACATTCGTTTTTGCCTTCTTTCTGAATGTCAAGCTGGGTTGTGAAGCTCGCTAAACATTCAGCATATAATTCAGCTCCACATTCGTTTTTTTTTTGTCATGTTTCTGTATGTCGCGCTGGGATGTGAAACTGGCTAGTCATTCAGCACAACATTCAACTCGACATTCGTTTTTTTTGTCTATTATTTATGTCGACATTGGATGTGAAGCTGGCTAGACATTTTCCCCATAACTCGTAAACCATACGGTAAACTTTGTTTAAATTTTGCATGATTGTGTCTTTTATCTATGTTATCAATTTCGGTTGATCAATTTCAAAATAGTCGCCGGTTTAAAAAAGGGCGACTATATTTTTAACAGGTTAATAGTATATCTGTGGTAGGAGAATTCCTTAAAATCGGACAATAGCAAATTAATTATTAAACAAAGACCACAATTATTTTAATTAATCTTATAAATTCAAACATATAATAACGTTGCTTAATGAAATGAAATATAGAAATATTGAATTATAAAAAGGAAACATGAGTCACCTTACAATTTTTTATGAAATTATTTAATAATGTATCCCTATGGATAAATCATTGAACGGGATACTTTTCTCTTAGTGACAAACGTTGCTCTTTATGATATTAAATAAATTATGAATGATATATGAAATGGCACTGTTAAATCATTTTGTTGTTATTATCTTATAAGACCTATTTATTTCATTATTTTTGTTAATTTCTTCCTGTTCTTTTTGTAAGAATCACGTGACTGCCATTAGGCACATTACATTGAAGTGCTATGAAATCCCATTTATAGTTACCTATTGCTGATAAGAAATACAGGTAAATTCAGGCGTTGATATTTTTGCTTATTCATAACATTTGCGCTATTTCATACACGTTCGTGTTTTTGATAATGTCCCCTTACAGGATTAGATCTCTGCAATCACAACAAAATCGTCAAGAATTTTGATGATATGTTTTTTTTTTAATTTTAATATTTATTTTAAAAAGTAAACACGGTTGGGCTAATTTTTCGAGACCGTAAGGTGTTATATGTTTACTGTAATAAAACAAACTTTCGAAAAAGAAATTATTCAAGTAATTAATAACTTCGATTCTACACTTTCTAAATATGAAATGTGTCCAATCATATCGGCATACTTGACAAAAGAGCTCAAGTTAACATGCCACTGTTTCTTACAGATAAAACAATTTTCAAAGATTTCTTTGACTGATCTGCAAAATTGACACAAACATGTGATAAGACCATTATCACGTGATTTGTGTCACGGTTTGCCGGTTAGCGTGTAATGGCATTTGCATAGTATTTTAACAATAAAGGTATTACAGCATATAATTAAAAATGGTGATGACCGCAAGTATTTAAAATTAAGTTAGTAAACCAGTGCTATCAGCAAATCTAGTATTTGTAACTTAAATGAACGGCGGTGAAAAGATAAATTTTAACTAATTGAGCCGAAGGTGAGACTTCAAAGAACGGTTAAACAAAAAGACAAAGGGCGTCAGTGGCCGAGTGGATAATGACGCTGACTTTAAACCACTTGCCCCTCACTACTGTAGGTTTGAAGTTCGTCATGTTTCTTTCAGGTGGTGAAGCTATTTTCTTACCTCTCTGCCCCATCCCATACACACATCATTTTGTTGGCTTTCTTTAATATCCTTGTCGGTTTCTATAATTACCTATTTTGTATAATTTATAATAACTCCCTGTCCGTGCTTTGTCCTTTTGCCCTTCCCTGTCCTTGTTTGTTGTCCTGTATTGCTGAATTGTTTAAATGTCGAATTCTAATTAAGCCGGTGCTACGGGACGTGGACAGTTTTTTGTACTTTTCTGTTTTTTACATTTACAGGCTCATTTAAACCGAGCCTGCAACATTTGGAACATTGCCGTTTTGGAACTCTTTAAGGATTCTAGTTCACACTTCTGTGTTGGAGGATGCGTTTATTGAATGCTACCCGTCCTTGTAGATCTTATGGGATTTTGTTTTCTGGCATTAAACACAGGCACTCTTTTATGTGAATTTACTTACGTATTGTGGTCAACGAAAGGCAAATAACTGCGGACTGATTTTCGCAACAATCGTAGACTTGTTACAAGTATTAGCCGGGTATTCGATTTTTTTTTGTTAATTAGACTGTTTCTGAAAAATAGATCTAGAGTAAATGTTTCTTATTTAATGGGAAAAAATCCATATATTGTTTACCCTGTATGAGCCTACTACACACTGGTTTCGATTTCGAATAGAAAAAAGTGTCTCATCTCAATATATATAGGTACATGTAACCGGACAAAAAACCATTGCGGATGGCGTGCCCCCCTAGGCGCCCCTTTTTGAAGTCTTTGTTCGTCCATTATGTTATTAAATTGTCCATTTTGATCGGCTTAAGCAGGGTGGTTTCTTGTTAATTGTATATGTCGCATATTTCTTTTCCCTTTTTTCTTATTTAAATCTGATTAACATTAAATGGGCAAGTGAAGTTTTGAAGATTTTGGTTATTTCTTAGAAGGTTTTAAAGTATTATTTTATCAAGAAAAGTTTTCTGAGGGAATTATTTGGACGTACAGTATACTAGTAAAAGCCTATAACGTTTGGTTTTTTTTTTTGTTTTTTTTTCATAATAGATTTTCGGAAAACCTCGTTGCGTAGTGTAGTCCGAAGTTATCTGTTTATGCGCACGACACTACTTAATTTGCTAAGGTTTGTGCAAAATTACATAGCATATGATTAAAGCCGTGATTATATTACGGATATTTAAGATTCAAAGTCATTTTTCAAATAGCTTGGATGTTCAAATCATTATTTATATCAATATGTAAAACATTTAAAAGGCTGGAGAATGTAGTAAACATTCAGTGAGTATCTCCTTTTTTTAAGTGTTCTCGAGCCAGAACTTTTATGTTAAGTCCTGTGTCGGTTATTCATTATAAAAGTGTAATTAATAATTCATTTTTCGAAATGATTGTTTCTTTATCAGGGTACTTACTAAAGTTCCCTTAAAAGATGGAGATAGTCAAGCGACTGCCGGGCTGTTGTGCAAGGGAAGCCGACCAGGGAAACGATAATACGAGTTAACCATTAAAAAAGAGTAAGTGCAAAATTTACATAATTCGTGTTTTTTGTAAAAATTGTTTTGATACAAAAAATTAAGTGTTTGATTTACCTTAATGTACATTGAGAAGACCTAAATTTTGAAATTTATAATAGTGTTTTCGTATAACTGTCTTCAATAGGGCGTATTTAACCGTTTGTTCACACGTTGCATCTTTCTTAGATGCATACGAAAAGTAGGACAACTAAATAGTTTGACGTTAATAAGAAACATTGAAGCGTTTTAAATAGCTACCGTCGCAAACAAGTTGCTCCATTTGAGCTAGTTTAATCATCGATATTATTCTTAACGTCTCACTGTTACATAGATGTAGCTTATAGATGAAGTTAACGAATAGAAAGTCATAGCTCTGAGTGTCTGCCAAAAGCAAAAGTTAAAAGTGTGAAGCATATGAAAATGTGTCGTATTTTCACACACAAAACATACTTTATCAGATACTTTAACTTTAACAGAAATTCAACTTAAAATTACTTGTCTTAAAATATTTTGCCGGTAAATCTTCCATTTTATCGGTAACCAAATACTGTCAAAAATATTAATAAAACCATATCTTCCAGTATGCATTTAGAAGGGGATGGTATAAAGGTTTGTGTAGGTTCTTGACTATTATTGTCTTTATATATGGAGGATCATATTTTCGTTAATAAGTAATGGTGAGAGAAGTTACGAATTTTCAAAACTTAGTAAACGTTCATCTTTTTTTTTGGGGGGGGGGGTTGTTTGTTTGTTTGTTTTTCTTGGGTGTTTTTTGTTGTTGTTGTTTTTGTTTTAATTAAAGAAAATAACTTTGGCATGTGCTCAGTTGACTACAAATTGGACAATATTTTCACGTTGAATGTTGTTATTGTGAAAGCGGAAACTGCCGTGAGTGTATTACATTACAATAGATGGCATCCTGGGATTTGTTATACAAGCATCACTCAAATCAGCGTCAGTGATTTTCCTCATTTTTGGATTCAAATATTATGTTTCGGTGATTGCATAACATATACATGTATTATATTGGATAATAATACTTGTATATTTGACAATGTGATTTGAATTACAAAAGATTGTTTTTTTTTATTCTTCAAATTCTTTAAAATTTCATTATTTGTGATATTAAAGAAAACATATGAACTATTTCAGCAGGTATGTCTCATCTTGAAGACCCACTCTACAAGGACTGGGTGCGTTCTGCCCTGAGTCTTAATTACCTTAAAGAAGGCATATATGGCTTTGTTGACCAATTTGCTAAACAACATCATAGCAACCTTCTTCAAAGTTACATAAAGGGTACCGGGTCCCCTGCGACCAGTTGCACTGAATGTACATCCGAAAATCTCATGCCAGATCATCCAAGACATCGATGTATTCAAAAATTTAGATCAAAGTGTTTCTGTAACAATCCTGTTGGACGACGAAAATGTCCTAACAACTTCTGCAGCAGATTGTATGACTTAATTGTCATTGCTCATGACGAAAGAAACCCTTTATGGATCAATACGGACCCAAGAAAATGGTATAGTGATCATTGGGAAATCGCTAAGTGTTATCTATCAACTACTGGTTATTCAGAACAAGGGACAGCTGCAAACACAGACGCTGCTGGCCTATTGTCAATTATTGTGAATAATATTGAAATCCGTAATTATGTTGGTTGCGTAGATAATATAAGAAAGGTATTTTTGTATACTGTTTAATTGTATTTCTATTTATATTTATGATAAAAATATGTTTATGCGAGAGTCCATAAAATGTCACACTCTGATTCATATCAATACCTGATTTTCTTTACGTCCTATTCTTAGCTGTTTATGCCGTCGCTAGTTCTTAGTTTTTATTTTCCAATTTGTTGTCGTTCTTAAACAGTCTTATTTCCAACAAATTCGCCATTTACTTCGATTTTGTCAAAATTCATCCTCAGTAAATAAATTTGAACTTAAAGGAGCTCCACACTGTTTTGACAAGAGTTAACTGAAAATATTTTTTTTCAAAATAAGTGTAAAATTTGATAGCAGTAAAACATATATGCAAAATTAAAGATTACGATTTAAAATTTGCTGATTATATTTTGCAGAAAGAGTATTATAAATGTGCAAAATAAGCCACACATGAAAGCTTAAAGCAAAAACATCAGGCTAGTAACGTCACAAAAATATTGAATTCATTTGTGAGACTATGTTTTAATCAACTGTTGCATTTTTTCCGTTTACATTTGCCCAAATTAATCGATACAACACTTTTAAAGTTTATGTTTATAAGCTTTTGGGCCTCAGCGGAATCTTTTGAACGTGTTTGGTGTTAACACTTTAAATGGATCTGTTTCAACATAATTTTTAATATGAATGCACAAAGTACCTGTAGACTTAACGATACATTTTATATTACTTTGAATCATAATCACTTCATTTTATTTAAAGGCTCGGGATATCCGCAATGATATTATGCATTCAAAATCCTTCCAAGTGGATCAAAGTTCTTTATATCAATATATCGATCAGATGATTTTAGTTCTTCAAGATCCCAAAACATTAGTCACAGACGTAGCTTCTCAAAATGCCGTTTTAAAATTGGAAAAGGTCACTATTATATTAATTCATTCTGTTAATTTATCTTTATAAATTACTTCTGTTTATCAGTTATTACACGGTTATAATCCTACATATTTCTTTTAATATTTACGTGTTATATTCCTATAAATATTTAAAATAATCTTCTCTTTGTCATTTTAGAATAAATTATTGTAAAAAAGCAACCTCCAGGTTAAGGCGCATTTTATAAAACAATAAAATGAAAAGCCTTCAGTCATATATTTGAAGTAATTATAGTAAAAACGTGACTAGATATTGATATAACCTAAATTTAACTAATTTTTAAAATTCTTATATGTATTTTCTTTTTCTTGAGTCTTGTAGTTTTAAAGGCATTACTTATATCTCAAATTTAACGTTAATATATGTGTTTTGTTTCCATGTATTCAGTTAAAGAGAGATCAGATATACATTAGCTTAGAAGATGCTTATTAAATGCGAAGACAAGCATTAAAAGCTGTTGAAGATGGTTTAAAAGCTGTTGAGGATGGTGTAAAAAAGATCGAAAAAACTAAAGACGAAGCCATTCAACAAATCGAGACAAAGAGAAAACAAACTCATGATAATTTAGATTCACACTTTGACCAGCGGCTACTGGAACAAAGCAAGAAAATCGAAGCTGTAACGATACGTATGCAAACAGAGAAGAATGAGTTCGAAAGTAAATATCAAACAGCTGTGAACGAAATTGAAACAAAGGGGAAGCAGGTTACAGAAAACATCGATGCATACTTTGAGAGTCGAGTGAATGACTATGAAAACAAAGTCGAAGATCAGGTTAAACCTTTGTATTCCTCCTTCTTTTATTTCCTGTTATTAGATTAGGATGAAGATAAAAACTTCAGATAATTACATATAGTTGGTAGAATTTAAAATGAGTAACGTAACTATTGCATTTTTAATCATAAAAAGTAGTACGAATTACACAGTTAATTTATTTGACCAAATATGAATCATAGTTCTTTCTTTTTAATATTATTATCATAAATAAATACTCCTGTTGTGTTGTTGTGTATATTACTCTACAAGTGTTACCACTATCTTTCTATTAATATTCCATATTTCCTATTCAAACCAATTTTCTGATATAATTTTAGTCTAAAGAAATTTCTGATGTTGAAACTCTGAATTCTGGGCTGACAGAAGATGAAAAAGGTAATGAATTGCGTTACAAATATTGATTTTTATCAAAGAATGTCAAGTCCGTCGTGTCTAATAAAGTTAAATGTATAAGATCAAATTGTCCATCAATCTATGATAAGTACTTTTTGCGGAGTGGATTTCAGTTTCCGATTCTGTTTATATAGTATACCGGCCATACTTAAACTGTAACATTACGTTCAAGGGAAACGGAAAAATTAATACGGGCATTTAACACTGAAAGCATTTTTCCGGACCTGTATGCCATCCACTTCAACACCAATGCACTAACGTCCTTTCCATACTAATTGACCTCCTCCTTTACGTATAAATTGATATTACATTTTAAAATATCAATGGTTTTGTTGTTTGTATGTTTCAGCCTGCCTAGAAAGTTATCGGTTAACATCAATGAACGACTTTTATCACTTTCATGTCATATAAAATGTGAACAATATTTGCATTGTTTAAGAATTAAGAATATTAATGTTACAAGTCAGGGAGACATGGAAACATGGTTTGAGTTATTTTTACATGCAACCAATTTGATACCATTATCCACATTCTAGAATATTAATAAGCATATTAGCCTTATTATGTCAATGCATCTTTCAACACCAATACGAGAGGCGTCCGTGGCCGAGTGTTTAAGGTCGTTGACATCAAATCACTTGCCCCTTACCGCTGTGAGTTCGAATCCCGACAGGGATATTTGATTATTTCATGTGAGGAGAGGAAGCTATCCAGCTAGCTTACGGATTGACGGTAGTTCTACTCAGGAGCTCATTTGCCCCTTAACTAAAGCACGGAAGTGCACCTGAGGTCTTCCTCCGCCAGTGAAGCTGGAACGTCGCCATATGGCCAATTATGTGTCGGCGTGACGTGAAACCCAATCAAACAAACCAGAACGATATTTTTAATTATAAACTATATATACATGTATAACACTATTATCATGGCTATTATTTTTTGACAGGTCTCCAAAGATATTTACTGGAATTTTATAGACAAGAATATGTTCTGATACCAATTTCTCCTCTTTCTACAAAGTACAGGAAAAGCGTTGAGGAGCTTTATGTCCCGTTACAGGCAAAGATATTTTGCAAACAAAACAATAACAATGTACCCGCGACCAAACTAGCTGATGTGTTTCAGCAAGACAATAAAGTCAAGCGCAGCATATATCTTACTGGAGAAGCAGGGATAGGAAAATCAACTTTTTGCAGGAAACTGATTTCACTATGGTGCACTGCTGGAGAAAATGAAGGAAAATTACAACACAATTATACTGCTGTTTTTGATCTTGATACCCAATCTTCAACAGAGAATGCAGAGATACAGGTCGATGATGGGTTCCATAATTGCACGGATGATCTTTACTATGAGTATGATAGTGATTCATACAGTGATGATAGCTCACTATGTAATCAAGACCTAAGTACAGATACAACAGCAAATGCGGTCCCAAGTTGTACAAGCAATCAAGATCCCCTCAACACAGTCGCTAAAAAATCACAAATCAACGATAACGACACAGATAATGCATCAATCCAAAAGTTTGATTTTCTTTTCTTCATATCTCTTCGCGATACTAATCAAGAGGTTTCCATTGAAGAAATGGTAGAAAAACAGCTTCTTTATCAAAATTTAAAACGTGTCGAATGTTTCAAAAACACCATTGAGAGAATTCCAGAGAAGTGCCTTTTTATTCTCGATGGATTGGACGAGTGGACACCGCCCAAACCTTTGCCAACACATCCCACTGTTACAAAAGGTTTGCCTTTAAGCTCTGTTAGTGGAAAATATGTCAAATTGTTCACGACTAGGAGATGGAAATACGAGAGTCTCAGTCCATGCATTGAAGAACATGAATCAGAAGTAAGACTGACGGGCATAGGGAAGACAGCATCAAGGGCACTCATTGAAAATATGTTAGTTTCAAAATATCAAATCTTTGCATTTGAAACTGCCGTTAGCTTGAGCGACACATATGATTTGACGTCCACTCCTCTTCTGCTCAAATTACTAATTTGCTTATGGCAAGAAAATTCTAAACTCGAAAGATCTAAAACAGAGCTGTATTGTTCAATTATAAATATTATGCTTCATCTGGCTGAAAGAAGAAATGATTTGAGTACTGATATTCCAACACATCAATTACCAGAAATGTTGAAAGTGTTTCGATACATTAAAGACAATAGCAACCTTGTCTTCAAGCTTTCACAATTTGCATTATATTCATTGTTTGAAGAACCCTATGGGTCTTCAGTCGTTTTTTCTGAGTTTGATCTTTTGCAGCAAGGTTTGAGTTCCAGAGAAATTCTTCTGTTTCTCCAAACGGGAATTCTTACACAAAAGTCTATATCTAGTAAATTAACATTTATCCCGAAAACATCATTATCGTTTATCCATAAAAGTTTTCAAGAGTTTTTTGCTGCCGTGTATATTGCTTCTCATGACAGTGACTTAAATTAAATAAGAAAAATTATTGCCTGCAGATGCGGTAAAACTTATCAAATTGTTGAGATGGCAAATGTCCTTTACTTCTTAGCAGACTTACGCAAAGAATTATATAAAAAAATATTAAAAGAAATAGCATCAAATTATTGTGACAGGGGCATCTTCTTGAGCCAAGAATTGGTTCTCACGTTGAAATTAAAAGAAGAAGATTATGATAGTTGTCTTATTGATATATTCTTAAGAGGCGATCCAAAAGCCGTTGTCATAGAATCAATAAATTACGGCATAAAGTGGAATTTATTTCCAAGTCAAAATCTGCAGCTTCAACTTTTAGAGCTCCGAAGTGTAAGTATGACACATCTTGAATTCAAGAGAATGCTAGAAAGTATTCCTTTGTCAGGAAAAGGAGTTGATGTCACTCTAATATGCATAGGTTGGATAGACGAATACTTTGAAACTGAAGAATTCCTTGTTCAGGTACGGAACGTTAGAACATTGAAAATTGAATTCACAAACCTTACTAAAGTGGAATTTATGTTGCCTAAAAATATTTGTTCTGTTGAATTGATGGAGAATGATATGACAGTGAGTGGTTTGAGCACAATGATAAATTCTGTTTCAGAAACAAATGGTGAAATTGAAATGGCCTTGCAACGTATAAATCTCAGTAAATCTGAGTATACACAAAGCAATTCTGATTTTCCACTTTTGAAATTTACTATTGATACTTTTCATGTTAATAAACGCATTGAAAAAGATGTAATAAAATTTTGTAAAAGTAATATTACGTATATCGGAACATGTTCTGGTTTGCATTTGGGTATCAGTAAGTTAAAAATTTCAAGTCAAAATCACCAACTTCGGGTTTTAGAGCTAGAGTGTGTAAGTGTGAAAGTAACAGCATTCATGTCATTGCTAAAAAATATTCCTATGTCGGAGAATGGTGTTGATGTGACTCTAGTAAATGTCATTTGGATCGACGAAGACGTAAACCGATGGTCTTTGATTGATGTAAAAAATATTAGGAAATTAAAAGTTCAATCTACAAATCTTAACAAAATACAATGTACGCTTTCTAAGAATAGTCTTACTATTGAAATGATTGATACTACACTTACATCCAATAATCTGTCTAAAATGATCAACTCTTTTCAAGATGTTGAACGGAACTATTATGCGAGGGACTCTGTATGCAAAATATCCAAAATAGTACTGAATCGTTCCCAGATAATCGATAATGTGACATTAGGGGCAACCATTAAAAGCACAGAAAGCGTGTCCGAAAGAAACAAGTGTAAGATTCAAGGTTGTCCGCTTAACGAGTTTTGGATTAAAAATACCAATCTCAAGGATGTGTTCTTAGGTTCAAGGGAATTTGACATTATTAACTTTGTGGATGTAACGATACGAATTAAAGAATTAAAGAAAATCCTAGGGAAAAAAATAATTGGGCATCTTTTTACGGTCTTAGGAAAATTCAAACAAGATGATATCGTTACATTTACAGGTAGCAATACTGATGAAGTACTTATTAGTGATAGATTTAACCTTCGACACCAAAAGTCTGATACTCCTCTTGAGATAAGTGTGAATGATAATAAAGTGGTAACAGTGTTGACAATATCAAATCGTTTTGAATATGTGCAAGAACCATTGTTTGGCTGTTTCAATTTTCCTAGCGTTGTAGCAGAATATGAAAAATATTTCAGTAAAGTATTAGAGTTCATTCCCCAAATTGAGCAAATGAAGTTGAATTTACATTTTGAAAATATAACTAATTTATCTACAAACAATTTTAAATGTTTAGTAGACAAACTAAGAAACAGTGCTTTCAAAATATTTTCTGTAACGATGGACAATGATGAGGGAGATATACATGTGAAAGATCGTGTGACATATGTATATGACACATTAAAACCGGAATATGTACAAGGTATAGGAAGACCTGTGTTGGTTTAAATCTTAAATTAACAATATGTTCTCTAAGAGGCTGTAGCCACATATAGATTAAAAGTAGAAAATGAACGTTCGAGTTTTTAAAACTTGACTCACTGACTTTGTCCTTCTATATTAAAGGAAATATATAATTTGCATGCACTGTCTGCATGCTTAGTGATATAACATATTGGTGGTACTTGTATAAAAAGAGAATGAAAACTGTTTTACATCTAATACCTCTTTAATAAATATTCTCTTGAATAAATGTTCTTTTATACGTGCAATAAATGTTTTGTATTCCTGCCATATCAGTCGGCGGCTTTTCACAATGCAAACGAACGCATTTTGTTCTTACACACTACTTTTGGTTCATATTTCACTAAATTTCATTTAAGCGAAATTTAATCATTACGGATTTTCATATCTAAGCTTTTGAAAATGTTTTTGAAAATTTTAATATATCTTTGTTTTGAGTATAGAAAGATAGTGTGGAATACATTGTTTTGCAGAGGCGTCATTGGCCGATGGTTAAGGTTAAGGTTGCGTTGACTTCAAACCACTTGAAGCTCATCGTTTTTTGTTCGCATTCCTCCAGGTACTGGATTTTTTTTTATAAACTTTGAAACATTTTAGCTAGCTTAGAGAACGTCGTTGGTTCTACTCAGGTGTCTGTTCGAGGATAGTTAAATGCACGAAAGGGTACTTGAGGTCTTTCTTCTCCTGTAAAGCTGGAACGTCGTCATGCTGTTGTGTCGTAAAACCCAGCCAAAAAGAAAACAAAGACAAAACATTGTTTTAAACGAATAACGCTTTCTATAGATATTTACTTTGTTGAAATTATATAGTTGTACATTTTATTTGTAGCAACAACTGGCTCGACTTTATCGAAACTTTGGAATTCACATTCCCAAGAAATGTTCTTAACATTTATTTATGTTTCGTTTGAAAACTATTTGCAAATATATGACCCTTGAACTAATTTTCTGCTGTTATTGTTTGTCTTGACTTAGCCGCAGTTATCATTTATTGGATCAAATCGAAACTGCTAATTTTGCACCATTGCGTTTTATTTTTCATTGTGACGCCGTTTTGTATCACAACGCCGCTTAATATCATACCATTGTCGGTTAATGCGCAATTGCCGCTAAATGTCGCAAAGAATTCCGTTAAATGTCGTTTTGATAAAGTTAAAAGTCGCGCTGTTTTCTCTTATAATATAAACAATATGTTAGTTATCTGGTAAAACCTATCATATAGGAAGGGTTTGCTATGGTGGCTGATTAATGCCATGTCGTATTTTCGCTCAAAAGCACCCACTTTGTCATATTTTTGCTTTGCGGGCGCCAGGTTTGTCTTTTCCTTAAATATTTTCATCTGACGTCTTCACTTTGTCATATTCTTAATTTTAACTTTGTCATATTTACTTGTATTTGCGTGGCGCCAAGCGGAGTGAAAATATAACATGGCACCATAATCAGTCAATGTAATTTTCTAATGTATCTTCAACAATTGGATTTTGAAATTACTTATGGCGAATGCTCATGTTAATGGTTTTAATCAATTGAAAAGTGCGTTATGTCAATTTAAACCTTCAAAATAAACATTAATGGTGTCGGACCCACAGCACTGCGTTTCAATTGAATCCACCGCCGTCTGCGTTGTAATCATTTTTGTCAATTCTTTTATAAACAGAAAAAAACAATTTCAAATAGTTCAGAAATAAGTTTTCCTTTGTGTGTCATCCATACGATGTGATACCGGTGTATTAATGGGTCGTTTTATACACATCTGTACGTGTTTTGACCAAAATTAGGCAAAAGTGGGGTCCCATCTTCAAACTGTACAAAAGTGTTTGCATAAATGTCAAAAATTACATCGTGTGCGTGTAATAAGTTGGAAGAGTACATACGTGGTCTCCAGTCTCACTAGGTGTTTCTCGTAAAACATGAAAGCATAAAACAAAATTCAGTCATAAACTTACCAACAACAGCAAACGGCCATATTTTAGCCACCGCATCTGCGACGAAAACTCCACCGCAGCTGCAATGGATACAACGCTTCTGCGTGTGAAAGTGCTGATACCTTATGAGAAGTTAAAACAAAAATATAAGGATGAAAATTGCAGACTTGATATTATTGTGTATATTCATGAGAGATAATGTAAGAGGAAAATATAAACTGTATAAAACATCTCCGTGTATGCAAGCTTATAAGAAAAAAAAACTTGTAAGGTATCATTTATAATATATGTGACGCACGTATTAAATGTAACAGTGAAATGAAGATCTAATATGAATTTCAACCTATGTTTGTCTGTGCTTTACAAAACTAAATTCTATCTCAAATAGCAGAATTTATTAATATGCGTCATATTTGTTGTATTTTGATTATCTTATCTACTTTCGTTTCGGTATGCGCCCAAGGAAAAGTTTGTTTTTGCCATCGAATTTTGTCATCACAAATCATTCTTGATATTTTGTAAAGGCATTTATGTGAGGGTTTTTCCAGCGATACGGTCAAACATATTCTAATACATTGCTGCGAAAAATATATAATAGGTAATAGCTTATTTGAAATATTGAAAGATATACAACTTAGTAAGTGACTAATAAACATAACTTTTATTTATTATTTCTAATGTAAATTTCACAAAAATATGAGTTTAAAAAGTTAAATATCGATATTAAAATGTATTAAAAGATTCCTTATATTTACTTTTTTTTCCTCATTTTAATAAATGCTGATATATAAATTTATATATCATGGCACGTGTGGAAAAAGATGTAGATTTTCCTGACTTTTCCATTAAACCAACTGACAAGATATGAAGAAATTATTTATGAGAAAAACACAGTTAAACAATAAATTGTGGTATGGTACAAGTATGAAAGTTGTTTCCCCTTAACCATTAAGTTTTATATTTATTAACAGGTTACACCTGTTACATCTATTAAAAACTTTATTTGTATATGATAAATGTAGTTGAATTATTTCGAACATATTCAAAATATATAGACTGAATTCTTTCGCAGGAAGAGGGTGTATTGAAATACGAAATGCCATGAAGAATTATATAC